AGAAAAGATCTTAAGAAGAGATATGGAAAAATTACATTACTAACAAAGAATCAAGATACAGACTGTTACCTTCAACAGTAGTAATGGGAGCCAGAAGACAATGGAATGCTATCTTGAAAATGATACGCTGCCAAGCCAGAACTTTATACTCAGAGAAAACCTCTTTAAGATTAAAATCAAAATAAAGACATTTTCAGAATGACAAAGTTCATTATTAATGGGCCCTAAACTGTTAAGAATGATTTTAAGGAAAATAATCCCCCAAAGAAGGTCAGAGATATAAGAAATGGTAAGCAAAGAAAAAGGTAAATACAGCTGGGTGCAGTGGCTTCTGCTTGTAGGAGGACCAAACGAGAGGCTCACTTGAGGCTGGGCATTGAAGACCAGCCAGAGCAACACAGCAAGACCCCATTTCTACAAAAAACAAAATTAGCCAGGTGCAGTGGCACATGCCTGTAGTCCCAGTTACTCAGGAGGCTGAGGCAGGAGGATCGCTTGAGCCCAGGAGTTTGAGGCTGCAGTGAGTCATGATCATACAACTGCACAACAGAGCAAGAACTCTTTTTTTTTTTTTGAGACGGAGTTTCGCTGTTGTTACCCAGGCTGCAGTGCAATGGCGCAATCTCAGCTCACCGCAACCTCCGCCTCCTGGGTTCAGGCAATTCTCCTGCCTCAGCCTCCTGAGTAGCTGGGATTACAGGTATGTGCCACCATGCCCAGCTAATTTTTTGTATTTTTAGTAGAGATGGGGTTTCACCATGTTGACCAGGATGTTCTCGATCTCTTGACCTCGTGATCCACCCGCCTCGGTCTCCCAAAGTGCTGGGATTACAGGCGTGAGCCACCACGCCCAGCCAAGACCTCATCTCTTTAAAAAAAAAAAAGCCTAGCATGGTAGCTTATGCATACCTGTAACCCCAGCACTTGGGGAGGCCAAGGCAGAAGGACCACTTGAGCCTAAGAGTTTGGGACCAGCCTGGACAACACAGCAAAATCCTGTCTCTATAAAAAAGAGACAGGGTGTGGTGGCTCACACCTGTAATCCAAGCTATTCAGGAGGCTAAGGTGGGAGGATCACTTGGGCCCGGGAGGTTAAGGCTGCAGTTGGCTGTGATCACACCACTGACTGCATTTCAGCCTGGGAAAAAGAGTGAGACCCCATCTAAAAAAAAAGAAAAAAAAAGAAGAACAGAGGAAGGTAAACACCACAGTAAATCTAAACAAATATTGACTATAAAGCAAGAACACAGGCTGGGCACGGTTGCTCACGCCTGTAATTTCAGCACTTTGTGGGACCGAGACAGGTAGATTTCTTGAATCCAGGAGTTTGAGACCAGCCTGGGCAACATGGTAAAAATCCATCTCTATTAAAAATGCAAAAAAAAAATCAGCCAGGTGTGGTAGCACACACCTGTAGTTCCAGCTACTCAGGAGGCTGAGGTGGGACAATCACCTGAACCCAGGGAGATATAGGCTACAGTGAGCCAAAATCCCACCACTGCACTCCAGCCTGGGTGACAGAATAAGACCTTGTCTCAGAAAAAAAAAAATCCAAGAACATTAGCCAGTGGTCATGACGCACACCTGTAGTCTTAGCTACCTGGGAAGCTGAGACAGGAGCATTTGAGCCCAAGAGTTTGAGGTTATAGTGAGCTAATGATAGCACCACTGCACTCCAGTCTGGGAAACAGAGTGACACCATCCTGTCTCTTAAAAAACAAGAAAGAAAGAAAAACAAAGATAATAATCAAATATGCATTTACATAAAAGTGAATGAAAAAGAAAGCAGGCCAGGCGTGGTGGCTCAAGCCTGTAATCCCAGCACTTTGGGAGGCCGGGGCGGGTGGATCACGAGGTCAACTGATCGAGACCATCCTGGTCAACATGGTGAAACCCCGTCTCTACTCAAAATTACAAAAAATTAGCTGGGCACGGTGGCGCGTGCCTGTAATCCCAGCTACTCAGGAGGCCGAGGCAGGAGAATTGCCTGAACCCAGGGGGTGGAGGTTGTGGTGAGCTGAGATCGCGCCATTGCACTCCAGCCTGGGTAACAAGAGCGAAACTCCGTCTCAAAAAAAAAAAAAAGAGAGAAAGCAAAAGAGGAATGGAGAAATAAAGAGAGCAAGAATGGATGATTTTTCCTTTCATTTTTGTTTTCTTTTTTATTTGTTTTGAGTCAAGGTCTCGCTCACTCTGTTGCCCAGGCTGGAGTATAGCGGTGTGATCTTAGCTCACTACAACCTCTACCTCCTGGGCTCAAGTGATTCTCCTGCCTCAGCCTCCCAAGTAGGTGGGATTACAGACACCTGCCACCACACCCAGCTAATTTTTAGTGGGGGGGGATGGAGTTTCACCATGTTGGCCAGGCTGATCTTGAACTCCTGACCTCAAGTGATCCACCCACCTTGGCCTCCTGAAGTGCTAGGATTACAGGTGTGGGCCACCATGCCTAGCCTATTTTTGTTTTCTTTATTCATCTCTTAAATTTATTCCTCTTTTTACAAGAAAAGAAGCCATGAATGACTTTTTCATTAAGTTTTTTATAACAGCAATCAGGAAAACAAAGTCATGCCTGAAGGGAAATGTGGCATCTAACCTGAGTTTAATATATATCAAAAGTCAAAATGATGTGGGTGTTAGATTATTTGCCACTTTATCTATGCCTCTGCTATAGTAATTAAAGCGTATTATTATTAGATCAATTACTGTTCACTTCAGTCTATCCTGTTGTTGCTCAAGTTATACTTTGCTTAGTTGCAATAATCTAGGTGCTTGGCACATGTGAATTCTCCTAATTTGCTAAGCCTTACCACTTAAATTGTTTTCTTTCATTGTTGCTGAAGTAAATAGTTCTAAAATGATATAACTTTTCATATAGAATAGATCAAAATCACTGATCCTTTCTTGATGGCCCAATGTCATTGATATAAACTACTACTACTATTGCTGATATAAAGAAACACGCTCAGTAGCTGTGGTGTAAGGGCTTTTGTGACTGCCACACTGTCAGGTATTCTCTTCTTGGTCATCACAGGGTTGGCATCTAGTGGCCTCTTCTACCAACCTGTGAACTGATTTTGTGGAGCCATTCTGCTTAGGGCCTCTTTTGATTACATTTCCTGGATATAGCAAGAGAAATAGAATTGGGGTGGAGCCTGAAAATGTTATTGAATTGCTGCAATCTCATGATAAAACTTTAACAGCTGAAGAGTTGCTTTTTATGGAGGAGGAAAGAAAGCGGTTTCTTGAGATGGAATCAACTCCTGGTAAAGATGCTGTGAACACTGTTGAAATGACAACAAAAGATTTAGAATATTGCATAAATTTAGTTGATAAAGCAATGGCATGGTTTCAGAGGACTCCAATTTTGAAAGAAGTTCTACTGTGGGTAAAATGCTATCAAACAGCATTACATAGTAGAGGGAACTCTTTCATGAAAAGAAGAGTCAATCAACGTGGCAAACTTCTTTGTTGTCTTATTTTAGGAAACTGTCGCAGGCACTCCAACCTTCAGTAACCACTACCCTGATCATCTGCAGCCATCAATATTAAGGCAAGACCCTTCATCAGCAAAAAGGTTACAACTTACTGAAGGCTCAGATAATTATTACCAATTTTTAGCAATAAACTACTTAACTAAAATACATACTTTTTAAAGATATAATGCTATTGCACACTTAATAAACTATAGTATAGTATAAACATAACTTTTTTTTCCTGAGACAGGATCTCCCTCTGCCCCTCAGGCTGAAGTGCGGTGTTATATTCATAGCTCACTACAGCTTTAACCTCCTGGGCTCAAGCATCCTTCTGCCTCAGCATCCCAAGTTGGTGGGACTACAGGTGGGTATCACCACACCTGGCTAATTTCTCTTCTTGTAGAGATGGGGTCTTGCTATGTTGAGCAGGCTGACTGGTATCAAACTCCTGGCCTCAACTGATTTTCCCCACCTTAGCCTACCAAAGTGCTGGGATTACCAACACACTAAGCATAACTTTTATATGCACTGGGAAACCAAAAAACTCATGTGACTCACTTTATTGCAACCTTTGCTTTATTGCCATGGTCTAACACCAAACCTGCAATATCTCCAAGTTATGCCCATACTGCGAAAATTAAATGAGATGATGAGAGCAAAACATACAGTACATGGTTTAAACAGTGTTTCAAATGGTAACTGTTATCTTTTAAAATCCTAAGTAATAATTTCCATTTAAATAGACTTCCTTAACTATTTTCTCCATAGTATCCTTATGAAAATGCTACTACAGGCCAGGCACAGTGGCTCATGCCTGTAATCTCAGCACTTTGGGAGGCCAAGGCGGGTGGATCACCTGAGGTTGAGAGTTTGAGACCAGCCTGATCAACAAAGAGAAACCCTATCTCTACTAAAATTACAAAATTAGCCAGGCAAGGTGGCGCAAGCCTGTAATCCCAGCTACTTGGGAGGCTGAGGCAGGAGAATCACGTGAACCCAGGAAGCAGAGGTTGCAGTAAGCTGAGATCACACCACTTCACTCCAGCCTGGGCAACAAGAGCAAGACTCCGTCTCAAGAAAAGAAAATGCTACTACAAATATTAACAGTGGCTAATATTTCATGAACACTTACTACTATATGTTAACACTGTGCTGAATTCTTTATGGGAAATTCGAATCCTTAGAAAAGCCACTGGAGCTAGGTATCATGACATTCCTATTACTAACAAACACTCAGAGAGGCTAAATAGCTTGTCCAAGTTCACAGAATGGTAAGTGGGGAAAATAGAATTCATATAGGTTTCACTCCAGAACCCATAATTGTAAGCACTCCCCTATCCTGAGAGGAGCATCAGCTTCTGCTGCTACTAAAATCTGCTTACAAGCAAGTTGAGAACAAGATAATTCATTTTCCTTTAACCTTATTTTCTACTTGATCATCCAAGGTACCAGCTGGAAAAGCAGGAGGTTTTTTTGTTTTGTTTTTGTGTTTTTTTTTTTAACTTTTGCCTTTTAACTTACCCACTCACAGTCAATTCCAAGTACTGGAAAATCTTGTAATTCACTTCTAAGCAAGGGCTCAATTTGATCCCACTCTGCCTCCTGAGACACCGTCACCACCTTTGCTTTAAGGATCCGTTCCTCCCACGAAGATCTGGGGGCACTGGAGTGCAGCTGATCATCTTCTGGAGGGGGCAGCTCGCCACTGCCCAGCACTTTCTGCTGCGGCTGCTGGGTCACAGGACTTGTTTTACTCCTTCGGCGGCGCTGGATGCCTTTCCACAGGACAAACCCCCCTACAGCCACACCCAGAAGGGTAGTCACTGTCAAAGCGACTAAGTTCTGTCTAGACATCTTCGACTTTTCTACTCTTTAGAAAAGCATATCACTAATCCCACAATCTGCAAAACAAATGGCAAAAAGATATTTATATACAGAATATAAACCTTTAGGTAACCAAGTTTTCCCCCTAGAAAATGTCCCAGTTATAATCTCTATGCCCACAAACTAAAACAACTGCTATAAATATCCAAGTGAAATAGTAGGAATAGTTTGATTTCTTCATCTTCATAATCTCTGTATTCTATCTCTATCTCCATCCGAACCCCAGGAAATCTCCCTGCCCTCTGATAGCTACCCAGGGCTCTCTTAATGATATAAAAACATATTCATCAAAACAACAGGCTATCTGCACAATGAAATGTGATCTAGGGAAAAAAAACAACAATAATAAGCTAAACCCTCAGCTCCAACTGCTGATTAACGAATGAATATTTTAGTTAATGGATCTTCTTCAAAGTATTTTGCATTTTAAACCTTTGGTCACCTAATAGTTGAAGGAAAACTTTTGCTTCCCAATTAAAAAAAAAATCACAACCATCAGTCAGTTGGTGGGGATATATTTTTTTACTCTCTGGAAGGTGTGGCAGTGAGGGGGTGGAGGAAACAGGCTGGAGTCAACACTTTGTGTTGCTCCAGAAGGCTCAGTGGTTTTCCATAGAAACTGATTTGGTTATTGTAGGGTAAGGCAGCGTGGTAGAAAAGAGAAAGGATCAAAAAAGAAATAAAAAAAGGTAGAAGTTAGAGAGATATCCAAGATGCACAGAAGGAGGTTACAAACTGAAGTGTCCACAGCGCCAGGCAGTTAAGGTAAATAAATGGAGCCACAAAATTGTCCCTTTTTCATTTTTCTGTAACATGTGGCTTTCTCCATACGTGGGAAGGAAATGAGTATACAGCACTATTTTTATACTATTAAAACAACAGTAATATATAATAAAAGAGGACAAAAACTACCTTCAGAGGCAGTTTTTGTTGAAGGTTCTTGCATTCTGTAAAGCCGTCTACTAACAAATTGCCCTCTTTGATAGCCTCTGCAATGACAAGTGTTTACTCCCTCCGTAGAGCCTGTTAAATAGGTGGAGAGAGCTCTGAGACTCCACTTTACAGTCTTCCCGTGACGTGGTTTATAGACTTATCATCCTGACCAAGGCCTTCTGCACGGTTCCAAGTTTGTCAATGTATCTCTTCAAATGTGGCATTCAGGTCTATATACAGTATTTGAGGCCAGGCATGATGGCTCACGCCTGTAATTCCAGCACTTTGGGAGGCTGAGGTGGGCAGATTGTTTGAGCTCAGGAGTTCAAGATCACCCAGGGAAACATGGCAAAATCCCATCTCTACTTAAAAAAACAAACAAAAAAACTTACAAAAAATTAGCCAGGTGTGGTGGCACGCACCTATAGCCTCAGCTACTCGGGAGACCAAGATGGGAGAATCACCTGAGCCTGGGAAGTCAAGACTGCAGTGAGCCATGATCACGCCACTGCAGTCCAGCCTACGTGACAGGAGTGAGACCCTGTCTAAAACAAACAACAAACAAACTTGAGATACAGTCTAACTGATGCCAGCTACAGTGACACTGTTACTTCCCAGTAGCTGGACCCTATATTTTATTAATGCTGTATGAAATAATATATTTTTTAGTAGCAGAATCTCATTGTTGGGTCATATAAAGTCTACAGGAAATTAAAATTCACTGACACCAAATCAAGTTCTCCATTTTATATATTTGTAATTTATATTTTGCATTTAAATCAAAAATGCTTCTTCTAAATTTCATCTTGTCTGTTTCAGCCAAATGTTTCATCTATTGAGACCAATTTGCATCTTGATTATGTTTCCCTCTCAACTTAAACATAATTTTATATACAAAACTGAATATTTGTTTTCAGAGAAAAGAACATATTCTAACATAAGTTGTTTTTTTTTTTCAGTTATTTAATTAGATTATTAGGACATTTAAAACACCAATTTGTGAGGATAAATTCCGTTTGTCAGGGCAAACACAGATCGCAGGTAGCCCTGGAGCTGAGGAATAGCTTTGATTTTTGGTCAAACTGGTGAGTCCACAGCTTTCTGATCAATCTTGCGCTGCTCTGTTATCTCATATTTCTCTTTTTCTGTGTCGAAGATCTCACCTTCCTGGTGTCTGGGCTTCCGCAGCTTCTTCTTCTTAAAATAAGCATCAGTAAGATGTTTTGGGATTTTTACATTGCTGATATCAATTTTGGTTGAGGTGGCAATGACAAATTTCTGGTGCGTTCTTCGCAGAGGAACTCGATTGAGGACCAGAGGTCCAGTCACAAGTAACAAGCCACTAGCCAGCTGCTTCAGGAAAACCACCCTCTTGCCCCTGTGGCGACCAGTGAGGATGATCAGAATGGTCCCGGGGGTAATGCTGGCTCGCAGTTTTCTCACGTGCTGACTAAAGGGTTTTTTGCCGTGGCTCAACAGCTTTTGAGGCACTTCTTCAGTAGGATAATACCTAGGCATTTTGCGAAGTTTAACCACCCGGGTGCCGCCGTTTTTGTCACCACCAACTGGTTTTGGAACAGTTGCAAGAACCTTCTCTTTCTTTTTCTTTTCAACCTTGGATTTAGCCCCTGAGTACTTCCTCTCGTACAAGGCTTTTCTGGAATACATGGCAGATCGGGAATACCTGCCAATTCCTCTGACAAGAACAGGATTGCGGCTGCAATGGGGCTTCCCCTTCTTGGGCTTTTTTTTAGCCTTGAGGCTAGCCTTTTTCACTTTGCTACCAGCATCAGCCTTCTTGGCTTCAGGTTTCTTCTCTTTAGTATCCGGCTTCTCAACTTTTTCACCGGCCATCTTGCAAGATGGGAAAGAGCCTAACATAAGTTTTTATTAATTCATTTTTATTTGGAGATGTTTTGTAAGCTCCATGTTTTTCTTACTTTTTAAACAGGACCATAAGCCAGACACCGTAATAGACCCTGGGTAAAAAGAGTCTGAAAGGCACAATCTGCCTTCAAAAAATTCACAATTTAGCCAAGGAAAAATACACATGATGAACAAGTTGCAAAGAGAGAGATAACACCAACAAGTGAAGCACGTACAACTATGCAAATGGCTTGTACTTGAGGAAAGAGTGGGGATATTGTTTTTATTTTTATTTTTTTGAGACAGGGCCTCACTTTGTCACCCAGGCTAGGGTGCCATGGCACAATCTCAGCTTACTGCAGCCTTGACCTCCTGGTTTCAAGTGATTCTCCCATCTCAATCCCCCAAGTAGCTAAGACTGACCACAGATGCATGCCAGCACCCCAACTAATATTTTGTATTTTTGGTAGAAATGGGGTTTTGACAGGTTGCCCAGGCTGGTCTCGAACTCCTGAGCTCCAATGCCCCAGCTAATATTTTGTATTTTTGGTAGAAATGGGGTTTTGCCAGGTTGCTCAAATTCCTGAGCTCAAGCAATCTGCCCACATTGACCTCAAAAAAGTGCTAAGATTACAGGCATGAACCACCACACCTGGCCGAGTTGGGGTATTATTAAGAGAAAACACTTGCTGAGAGAGAGAGATGGTGTCTGAGACTGGCATTCAAACAGGAGTGAGAGTTCTCCAGGTGCACGAGGCAGATAGGAGGCGGGCACCCCAGGAGGAAGGAATAGCTTGTATACAAATGAAAGGGCAGGAAACACAACAGGATAGGCAACACATTTAAACAAATGTAAAATATAGGCGGGTGCAGTGGCTCACGTCTGTAATCTCAGCACTTTGGGAGGCCAAAGTGGGAGGATCACCTGAGGTCAGAAGTTTGAGACTGGCCTAGGCAACCTGGCAAAACTCCATTTCTACCAACATGGTAAAAACCCATCTTTAATAAAGATTCAAAAATCAGCCAGGTGTGGTGGCCATGTGCTTGTAGTCCCAGCTACTCAGGAGGCTGAAACACAAGAATTGCTTGAACCTGGGAGCAGAGGTTGCAGTGAGCCAAGATTGCACCACTGTACTCCAGCCTGGGGAACACAGTAAGACTCTATCACAAAAACAAAAACAAACAAACAAAAGAATGTAATCTGTACTATACAAGTAAAATACACACCAAATTTTTGAATACTTACTACAAAAAATGTAAATTTTTTGATAATTTTCATACTGATTTTTATGGTGATTTCTTTATTGTGGTAAAATATATATAACATAACATTTATGATTTTAGTCTTTTTTTTTTGAGACAAGGTCTGGCTCTGTAACAGAGGCTGGAGTGCAATGGTGCAATCTCAGCTCCCTGCAACCTCCATCTCCCTGCAACCTCCATCTCCCAAGCTCAAGCCATCCTCCTATCTCAGCCTCCCAAGTAGCTGGGACTATATAGATACTCCCCCAATAATGCCCGGCTAAATTTTTTTTTTAATTTTTTATGTAGAGACGGGGTTTCATCATGTTGCCCAGGCTGGTCTCAAACTTGTGAGCTCAAGGGATCCTCCCGCCGTGGCCTCCCAAAGTGCTGGGATTACAGGCATGAGCCAACACACCTGGCCCATTTTAGCAATTTTTAAGTGTACAATTCAGTGACAATAAGTACATTCACACTGCTTTGCAACCATCACCATCACCCATTTCCGGAGAAATTTCATCCTTGCAAACAGAAACTATTACTCAACAAGAATTCCCTACTTTCTTCTTCTTCTAACCCCTGATAATTCCTACTATACTTTCTATCTCTGTGAATTCCATATTAATTTTTTAATATATATGTTGAAATAATGTTTGAAATATACTGGATTAAATATAGTCATGTGCCACATAACAATGTTTCAGTCAAGAGACCACACACACAATAGTCTACAAAATTATAAGATTACAATGGAGCTGAAAAATTTCTATTGCCTAGTGACTTCACAGCCATCCTAACCATCCTAACATCACTGCACAATGCATTATTCACCAATGTGTGTAATTATGCTGGAGTTAACAAACCTACAGCACAGCCAGTGGTATAAAAGTACAACACATGCAATTATGTAGAGTATATACTTGATAATGACAATAAACGACGTTACTGGTGTATGTATTCACTGTATTTTTTACTTTACAGTGTACTCCTTCTACTTATAAAAACAATAATTGTAAAGCAGCCTCAGGCAGGTCCTTCAGGAGTTATTTCAGCAGGCATTGTTATCATAGGAGATGACAGCTCCATGCCTGTTACTGCCTCTGAAGATTTTCCGGTGGGATGAGACGTAGAGGTAGAAGACAGTGATATTGATGATTCTGACTCTTTGTATGTCTAAGCTAACATGAATGTGTGTATTTGTGTCTTGATTTTTAACGAAAAGCTTAAAAAGTTAAAAAAAAAATTTTTTAACGACCTGAGTGAGTCAATGCAAGAACAGAAGACCAAATACTGCGTGTTCTCACTTATAACTGCACATAGACATAAAGATGGGAACAACAGACATTGGGGACTACTAGAGGGGAGGAGAAGACAGTGAAGGGGGCTGTGGGCTGAAAAACTACCTATGCTCAGTGCCTATGTGAAGGACTCATCCATACCCCAAACCCCAGCATAACATAATATACTCATGTAACCAACCTGTACGTGTACCCCCTGAATTTAAAATAAAAGTTGAAATTACATATACATATAAAAAGAACGAATCAACCATGGAGAAAGTAGAATGACAACACACAGAATGGGAAAAAATATTTACAAATCATATATCTGGAAAGGGTGTACATCCAGAATATATATAAATTGCTTACAATCAAATAATAATTTAAAAAATTTTTAAACTGGCTAAGGATCTGATTAGGTATTTTTCTTCTTCAGTTTGTTTTTTAATATATTTTTTTAGAGACGAGATCTGGTTCTGTTGCCCAGGCTACAGTGCAGTGATGCAATCATAGCTCAAGACAGCCTCAAACTCCTGGGCTCAAGTGATCCTTCTGCCTCAGCCTCTTGACTACAATTGTGCTAACTGAAGAGACATGTCCAGCAAATTGAATAGACATTTCCTGATAGAAGGTAATACAAATGGCCAATAAGTATATGAAAAGATGTTCAATATCATTAGCTGTTAGAGAAATGCAAATCCAAATCAGAATCAGATACCACTTTACACCCAGTAGGATGGTTCTATTCAACAAAACAAATAAAGCCAGGTATGGTGGCTCACACCTGTAATTCTAGCACTTTGAGAAGCCATGGTAGGAGGATCACTTGAGGCCAGTAGTTTGAGACAAGACTGGGAAACATAGTGACACCCCACCTCTATGAAAAAAAATTAAATTAGCCAGTAGTGTGCCTGTAGACTTAGCTACTTGGGAGGCTGAGGGAGGAAGATGGTTTGAGCTCAGGAGTTTGAGGCTGCAGGAAGCTTTGATCACTCCACTGCAGTCCAACCTAGTTAACAGAGTAAGACCTTGTCTCTCAAAAAAAAAAAAAAAAAAAAAAGACAAATAAACTGGCAATAATGTGGAGAAATTAGAAATCTCATCCATTGTTGGTGGAATGTCAAATGGTACAGCTTCTCTGGAAAACAGTCTGGCAGTTACATGACCTAGCAATTCCACTGGGAGGTATCTACCCAAGGGAAATGAAAACACATGCCCATACTAAAGTTCATAGCTATTCATAATTGCCCAAAAGTGGAAATAACCCAAATGTCAATTAGTTGATGAATAGAGAATTAAAATACAGTATATCCATATGTTATGAGTTGAACTGTATTCCCCAAAAAGTTATGTTGAAGGTCTAACCCCTAGTACCTGTGAATATGACCTTATTTGGAACCAGAGTTTTCGAAGATGTAATCAAGTTAAAACAAGGTCATACTGAAGCAGGGTGGGCCCTTAATCCACTATGACTGGTGTCCTTACAGGAGGAGGAAAAGAAACAGACGTACTCCAAGAGAATCCGACGTGGAGACAGACACACAGCGAAGGTGACTATTTGAAGACAGAGGCAGAGACTGGAGTTATGCAACTGTCAACTGAGAAATGCCAAGGATTGCCTAAAACCACCAGAAACTAGGAAGAGGCAAGGTGGGATTCTCCCCTACAGCCTTCAGGAAGAGCATGACCCCGCTGATACCTTAATTTTGAACTTCTAGCTTCCTTAACTGCAAGAGAATAAATCTCTGTTGTTTTAAGCCACCAGTTTGTGTTACTCTGATCACAGCCCTACAAAACAAATATACCACAGAATGAAATTTCATTCAGTAATATATAAGAATGAAGAAGAACTGATACATGCTGTAGCATGGATGAATCTTGAATACATTATCCGAAGTTAAAGCAGCCAGTCACAAAAGACCACACATTGATGGCTGGGCGCGGTGGCTCATGCCTGTAACCCCAGCACTTTGGAAGGCCGAGGTGGGCGGATCACCTGAGGTCGGGAATTCTCGACCAGCCTAACGTGGAGAAACCCCGTCTCTACTAAAAATACAAAATTAGTTGGGCATGGTGGTGCATGCCTGTAATCCCAGCTTCTTGGGAGGCTGAGGCAGGATAATAGCTTGAACCCGGGAAGTGGAGGTTGCAGTGAGCTGAGATCGTGCCACTGTACTCCAGCCTGGGCAACAAGAGCAAAACTCTGTCTCAAAAAAAAAAAAAAAGAACCAAACACTGTATGATTCCATTTATACAAAACACCAAGATCTAGAAAGACAGAAATATTAGTGGTTGCCTAAGGCTGGGTCTTAGAGGAGTCAGGGATAGGGAGTGACTTTAAGAGATAGGGATAGGGAGTCACTTCCTGAGGGAGTGACTTGGGTGGAGATAGGAGATAGGGATAGGGAGTCACTCCCTGAGGGAGTGACTTGGGTGGTAAAAATGTTCTAAAATTAATTATGGTGATGGTTGCACAACTCTATGAATATACTAAAATCATCAAATTGTACACTTTGAATAATGAATTGTATGGTGTGTGAATTACATCTCAATAAGGCCATTAAAAAATGATTTTGGGCTGGAGTGGTTCATGCCTATAATTCCAGCATTTTGGAAGTCCAAGGTGGGTGGATCACTTGAGCCCAGGAGTTCAAAACCAGCCTGGGCCACATAGCGAAACCTCGTCTCTATAAAAAATACAAAAATTAGCCAGGCATGGTGATACATACCTGTAGTTCCAGCTACTTGGGGGGCTGAGGCAAGAGGATCACTTGAGCCCAGAAGGTCAAGGCTGCCACTGCATTCCAGCTGGGTGACTGAATGAGACTCCACCTCTTAAAAGGAAAAAAAAAATGGACAAGTTGACTCTAAAATTAATCTGGAAAAGAAACTAATTATAGCCAAAATAATGTTTTTTAAATAATAGAGGACGTGAGCTGATATAGTATATGACTTCCAACACAATAATTATGATGGAGTATTTACCCTATTAGATGTCAACATATAACATACAGTTTAATAGAGAATGTTGTGGTATTGGTCCAGCAAAATAGAAAAGTAAGCCAGAGAACAGAGGTAAGTCTAGAAACAGACCCTGTATGAGAAATGAGTTCATGAGGCCAGGCAAGGTGGCTCATGTCTGTAATCCCAGCACTTTGGAAGGCCAAGGTGGGAGAGTCTCCTGAGGCTGGGAGTTTGAAGCTAGCCTGAGCAACATAGCAAGACCTCATCTCTATCTCTACATATAAAAATTAAAAAGAAAAAAAAAGAAATTAGTACACGGTAAGTGTGAGATTTCAGATTAATGGCTCAAGAATGGACTGACTACTCGAAGTGATGGTGTTTGGAAAACAACAATTACACACACACAATTCTGGAGGAATTAAAGAAAAACTCAAAACTATTCCCGCAAGAAGAATTTTGAGGAGAAAACAGCTTTGAAGAAAACCCTGCTCTTTCTAAGAGTAGAGGAGGGGCCAGGCACAATGGCTCACAGCACTTTGGGAGGCCAAGGTGGGCAGATCGCCTGATGTCAAGAGTTAGAGACCAGCCTGGTCAACATTGTGAAACCCCATCTCTACTAAAAATCTAAAAAGTAGCCAGGTGTGGTGGCGCATGCCTGTAATCCCAGCTACTCGGAAGACTGAGGCAAGAAAATTGCTTGAGCCCTGGAGGCAGAAGTGTCAGTGAGCCAAGACCATGCCATTGCACTCCAGCCTGGGCAACAAGAGTGAAACTCCATCTCACTAGATAACCAATAGCAGCACCACCTTAGTAGAACAAACAAAAAATGTCTACAGACATTGTCAAATAACCCTGAGAGCAAAAATCTCTCCCATTTAACAACCACTCAGATTGGGAATGATAGCCACAAAATACAAACACACACAAAACAGACTGATAAATTAAAACCTAAAATCTTAAACTTTGTTTCAACAATGATGCCATGTAGTAAAAGACAAGCAACAACTTAAAAAAAAAGCAATAAGGAGTAAATATTACAAATATATATAACAAAAGATCAAAATCCAGAACATATAAAATACTACAAGTCAATAAGAAAAAGAAAATCCAATAGAGGTGTTTCTTAAAAGAGGAAATACACAAATGGCCATCAACCATGAAAAGATGGTCAATCTCAATAGTAATTAGGTGAATGCAAATTAAAACAGCAATGAGAAATCACTTTTCCATCCATCAGACTGGCAAAAATAGAAAAGATTCATACCATTAAATGTTCAAAAGGCTGGGCGTGGTGGCTCAAGCCTGTAATCCCAGCACTTTGGGAGGCCGAGGCAGGTGGATCACGAGGTCAAGAGATCGAGACCATCCTGGTCAAAATGGTGAAACCCCGTCTCTACTAAAAATACAAAAAATTAGCTGGGCACGGTGGTGTGTGCCTGTAATCCCAGCTACTCAGGAAGCTGAGGCAGGAGAATTGCCTGAACCTAGGAGGCGGAGGTTGTGGTGAGCAGAGATCGCGCCATTGCACTCCAGCCTGGGTTACAAGAGCGAAACTCCGCCTCAAAAAAAAAAAATGTTCAAAAGAGCATGGGGGACCAGGCACAGTGGCTCACTCCTGTAATCCCAGCTACTTGGGAGGCTGAGGCAGAAGAATTGCTTGAACCCAGGAAGTGAAGGCTACAGTGAGCCGAGATCGCACCACTGTACTCCAGCCTGGGCAACACAGCAAGACTGTATCTCAAAAAAAAAAAAAAAAAAAGCATGGAGGAAATTATTTTATACACTGGGGGTGGCAGTTTGGCATTCCTATATGTCCATACTCTCCCACTCAGCAATTCCACCTGCAGGTACCCATCCTTGAGAAATGCTCACATGGGCACAGAGGCGTGTGGAAAGATGTTCTCTGCCACACTGTATGTAACATTGAAAAACTGGAAACAATCTATGGAATCTTACATAAGCATGGAAGTTACAGAGCAAGTAGAAAGAATAGGTAGATCTCTAGGTACTGACAAAGAAAAAATTCCAAGACCCATTTTTAAGCATAAAATGTCAAGTTGAAGAATGTATAAAACATACATATTTGTAAAAGTTTAACATGAAAGCTTACAAACATATATCTTACACATACACATACTTGTCAATAAATGCAAAGAAAAATACACCCAAACTGACAACAGTTCTTATTTTGTGGGAAAGGAACTGGTAAAGAAGAAAAGGTGGAGATGGAAAAAAAAAAAATCGAAGAGGATTTGTCTTCCTCACTCCCCACCCTCACCACCAAGGAGCACAGCAAGCTAAGAAGAATCTGTCTTGTTTAACATTTTTACATAATTTTGTAAATTTGCACTTTATGCCCGGACTATAACTGGAATATTTAAAAAACACATTTTTAAAACAAGCTCAACTTAAAATTTAATCCATCTTTCCCCCTGCGCCCCGACCCCCACTTCCTAATTCCTATGATTAAAAAAACCTTTCACAAAAAAAAGGTATAATTTTGTGTTTTTGAGGAGAGGGTATATAGAGGAGTCTGAATGTTGTATTCATATCAAAAACATATCAAAAGCTTATCGAGGGATGCTTGTTTCTATTTTAAGGAGCAGGTGTCAATTTTGTAACAATGATAACGTTTCTTAAGTTTTCATCCATCCCAGGGATGTTAAAAGCGAAAGAGGTGGCTCCCGACCAGGCCCAGAGCAGGGTGTGGTCTGGGAGGACAAGAATAGTATGGGGGGGTGGCGGCTCCCACGAATCCAGGGGAGAAAACACCAGCTGCGGCTGCCTCGAACACGCAGCGCCGGAGGAGCTACCAGGTGCCGCGGGCGGGGCCTCCTTTTTAGCTGATTGGGACACCCAGCCTGAAAGGTCTGGTAGGGACTCCCAGAGACAGGGTAAGGGGGTCGGAAAAAGAGGCCCAAGAGGGCGTGGGAGGCCGCGGGCAGGGGTGAGGCCCTCCTTGCGCACCTGGGTGCTCAATCGTCCCGCGTGGGCGACGGGGGTGAGGAGGGTCACGTCGAGGGGCGGGGAGAGGGGCAGGGCCAACTCGCTCCGGGACAGCTGGGTCCCCACAATGTCACCCCCGCACACGGTAATATCACCCGTTCCACGACCCCTCTTAGTCTGCACTGGAAGCCCCTCTGCCCCAAGCACAATCCCAGCGCGTGGCCTCGCCGGCCCCTCACCCTCACTTACCTGCGGTCTCGAACTGGCCCGCACACCTACCGCGGGCTCACGTTAAAGAGATGGAACCTGTGCGGCCGCCTGCGCGAACCCACCCGGATTCAGTAGGGCCGTAACCACTTCCGTTCCTGCGGCAGGCCCGGTGGGCGTAATCCTGGTTGGGGTGTGTGAACGGGCGACGCCATCTTGTACGGAAGCTACCGAGGCAAGTGTTGCCTGCCCACTCTCACTCCTCTGTTGAACAAAGGATCTATTAAAATTGGAAGGGCTTAATGTCGTCTTCAGAAAAGTGACGCATTTGTTTCTGGGATGGTATTTTTGTGTTCTGGTTTTGGCTTTGAAGGGAGAACCCTTCAGAACCCTCACAAATGCTATCTGGGACATCTACTTTTCATTCTTTTTTTTTTTTGAGCGGAGTTTTGCTCTTGTTACCCAGGCTGGAGTGCAATGGCGTGATCTCGGCTCACTGCAACCTCCGCCTCCTGGGTTCAGGCAATTCTCCTGCCTCAGCCTCCTGAGTAGCTGGGATTACAGGCACACACCACCATGCCCAGCTAATTTTTTGTATTTTTAGTAGAGACGGGGTTTCACCATGTTGACCGAGATGGTCTCGATTTCTTGACCTCGTGATCCACCTGCCTCGGCCTCCCAAAGTGCTGGGATTACAGGCTTGAGCCACCGCGCCCGGCCCCTACTTTTCATTCTTTAGTATTCTGTGTACTGTTTTTCGGTTCAACGATGACAGTAAATAGAAGGAAAAACACTGTATTTAAGTAATGTAGTCCTCATTACCAGTACTCATTATCCTATAGTCACTAAATAATTTTATGTCCCCCTCTTTTTTTTTTTTCCTTAGGGACTGTCTCCCTCCCTACACTGCCCAGGCTGGCCTCGAACTCCTGGTCTCAAGGGATTCTCACGACTTGGCCTCCCAAAGTGCTGGAATTACAAAATGCCCAATCTACACCATCTTTTATAGTAATAACCACAGTACCTTCTGTTTATAAATTAAATCGTTCATCCTATCAGTCTTTATTAGCAATTATATGTGAGGCAGTTAGCGTGTGCTACATGCATGGTGCTCCTTTCTCATGTAATGTGTAAAACAGAAGGAGAAATTAGATGTGCATGAATAACCAGTATAAGGTATAATAATAGCTTCCATTTGTTGACTTTGTGTTCACCTGTTGCTAGGAGCTTTGCAATGCATTTTACTTACTTTTTCTCTTTTAATCCCCCTAACGACCCTATGATGCAGTACTATTATTAGGGCCATTTTACATAAAATAGAAAAAGGTTAAATAACTTCCTCAAGGTAATTCAGCGAGTAAGCACTGGAGTTAGAAATCAAACCTCATGCGTCTGATTGCAAAGCATGTGGCCCTCATTCTGTATATTATATTGTCTCCAATTCAGGGGCAAATGTTTTAAACTCCATTGAATAAGTACCCATGGGAGAAATTTGCAGCTATCATAGAGGATTAACTCTCTGAATTTTTATCTGCTCCATCTCGAAACACTTAAAAAATAAAAGATAAAGAAGAAAGGCAAATTAAAACCACAATGAGATACCATCAGATACCTGGCAAGATTGTGGAGCAACCGCAACTCTGATATGCTCCTGAAGGGAACAATAAATTGATGCAATCACTTTGTTAAACTAGTGGTATCAACTGAAGCTGAATATATGAAAAACCTTTGTTCCAACAATTTCACCCCGACGGGCACAGTGCCTCAAGGTGTAATCTCAGCACTTTAGGAAGTTTAGCTGTGTTGCCCTAGCTGGTCTTGTACTCCTGGCCTTAAGCAATCCTCCCACCCCGGCCTCCCAAAGTGCGGGGCACGGTGGTATGCACCTCTAGTCCCAGCTACTCCGGAGGCTAAGGCAAGAGGATCTCTTGAACCCTGGAGTTTGAGGCTGCAGTGAATTGTGATCACACTACTGCAGTCCAGCATAGGTGACAGAGCTAGACCCTGTCTCAAAAACAAACACGACAAAAAATAATTTCACTCCTAGTTGTATATATGCAACTGAAACGTCTGCATATATTCACCAAAAGGACATGTACAAAAAAAAAGCTCATATGCATACCTTTAACAGCCCCAAACTGGAGAAACTACCCAAATGTCCCTGCTGTTAGAAGTCATTGTATATAGTGACTAATCTTAGGGGAGTAATAACTGGAAGGGAACATGAGGAGGCTCACAAAGTGCTGGTAATGTTCTATTTCTTTCTGTCTTTTTTTTTTTGGAGATGGAGTTTCGCTCTTCTTACCCAGGCTGGAGTGCAATAGCGTGATCTTGGCTCACCACAACCTCCGCCTCCTGGGTTCAGGCAATTCTCCGGCCTCAGCCTCCCGAGTAGCTGGGATTACAGGCATGCACCACCATGCCCAGCTAATGTTTTTTGTATTTTTAGTAGAGACAGGGTTTCACCATGTTGACCAGGATGGTCTCGATTTGTTGACCTCGTGATCCACCCTCCTCGGCCTCCCAAAGTGCTGGGATTACAGGCGAGAGCTACCGTACCCAGCCCCTCTTTTTCTTTTTTGAGACCCAGTCTACTCTATCTCCCAGGCTGGAGTGCAGTGGCGTGATCTTGGCTTGCTGCAACCTCTGCCTCCCAGGTTCAAGCAATTCCCTGCCTCAGCCTTCCAGGTAGCTGGAATTATAAGCACCCGCCACCAAACCCGACTAATTTTTGTATTTTTAGTAGAGACGGAGTTTCACCATCTTGGCCAGGCTAGTCTTGAACTTCTGACCTCATGGACCTTGACTCCACCCACCTCAGCCTCCCGAAAACACTGTCAGCCCCAAATTCTGCCAAGGATGTGGAGTAACAGGAACTCTCATTCATTGCTGTTGGGAATGGAAAATGGTACAGCCACTTCTGAAGACAGTTTGGCAGTTTCTTATAAAGGTAAAGATAGATAGTCTCAGCATGCAATCCAGCAGTCACCCCCTTGGTTATTTACCCAAATGAGTTAAAAACTTAGGACCACACATAAACTTGCACATGAATGTTGATAGCAGGTTTATTTTTAAGCTAGAAACAATCAAGATGTCTTTCAGTAGGTAAAAGAATAACCAAACTGGTACATCCTTACAATGGAATATTATTCATAACTAAAAAGGAAGAAGGTACCAAGCCAAAAAAAAAAAAAAATGGAGTAACCTTAAATGTATACTGCTAAGTGGAAGAGGTCAGTCTGAAATGGCTACATACTGTATGGTTCCAACAATACGACATTCTAGAAAACACAGAGCTATAGAGATGGTAAAAAGATCAATGGCTGCCAGAGATTCCAGGGGAGGAGAAAGGGCAGAATAGCTGGAGCAAGGGGATTTTTAGGGCAGTAAAACTATACTGCAGTGGTGGGTACATGACATTATGCGTTTGTGAAAACCTATGGGACTGTGCAACATGAAGAGTGAACGCTAATGTAAACTCTAAACTTTAGCTAATAATGTGTCAGTATAATTTTGTAGCAAAGGTACAATACTCATGCAAGATATCAATAATAGATGAATTGTATGTAGTGAGGGGAGGTATGTGGGAGCTCTCTACACATTCTGTTCAAATTTTCTGTAAACCTAAAACTGCTCTAGAAACAAAGTCAATTATTATTATTTTTTTGAAAAAAGGTCATTGTGTGAACTGCTTGATTTATCTAAAATGCTTTCTTCATTTGTTTATTCATTCCAAGGACAACTTAATATCAAGCACTGGGCCAGGGATTCATGGAACATCATGTGCAGAAAATTCAAGAGGAACTGTGGCAGGAAGTGCTAGTTGCCCACCTAGTATCCATTCTCCCTTTCCACTTAGCAATGAAAGTCAGGGGCATTTAAAAATTGCATTTAAAAAATACAACTTGCTGTCTTCATGAGGCGTAGGCATGGCCATGTGACTAAGTTCTGGCCAATGAGTTATAAGCAAAAGTTTTTGCATGAGACTTTTGGTAATGTTTCTAAAAAGGGGACAGGCTGGGCGCAATGGCTCATGTCTGTAATCCTAGCACTTTGAAAGGCCAAGGCAGGTGAATCACTTGAGGTCAGGAGTTCAAGACCAGCCTGGTCAACATGGTAAAACCCCCATCTCTACTAAAAATACAAAAATTAGCCAGATGTGGTGGCACATACCTATAATCTAAGCTACTCAGGAGACTGGGGCATGAGAATCGCTTGAACCCGGGAGACATAGGTTGCAGTGAGCTGAGATTGCACCACTGCCCTCCAGTCTGAGTGACAGAGTGAGAGACTTTGTCTCAAAAAAAAAGAAAGAACGAAAGAAAGAAAGTAAAAGGGGACAAAGAGGACAAGCTACGTGTGGTGGCCCATGCCTGTAATCCTAGCACTTTGAAAGGCCAAGACGGGAAGATCACTTGAGCCCAGGAGTTCAAGACCAGGCTGGACAACATAGGGAGACGCCGTTTCTACAAAGGAGTAAAAAATTTGCTGGGCATGGTAGTGTGTGCCTGTAATCCCAGCTACCTGGAAGGCCAAGGTGGAAGAATTGCTTGAGCCAGGGAGGGCAAGGCTGCCAGTGAGTCATGACTGCACTACTGCACTCTAGCCTGGTAGACAGAGTGAAATTCTGTCAAATAAATAAAGAGGGGACAGATAACTCCCGCAGGCCTCTTTTGCCTCTTGTCATTGCTCTCCCACTTCTTCCTTGCTTAGACTAGGACCTGACAGCTGAAGCTCCAATAGTTCTCTGCCATCACAGAGGCAATTTAAACATGGAAGCCAGGTACTTAGAAAGATGGAATGTAGAAGTAGATGTAGCCTGGATCCCTGATGCCTTCTGTAGTTTCCATACTAACCCTGAGCAACCTACCTCTGAACTTCTTTTTTTTGAGATGGAGTCTCATTCTGTCACCCAGGCTGAAGTGCAATGGCATGATCTCAGCTCACTGCAACCTCCGCCTCCCAGGTTCAAGCAATTCTCCTGCCTCAGCATCCCGAGTTGCTAGGACTACAGGCGCGCGCCACCACACCTGGCTAACTTCTTATATTTTTAGTAGAGATGGGGTTTCATCATATTGGCCAGGCTGGTCTTGACCTCATGATCTGCCTGCCTCAGCTTTCCAAAGTGCTGGGAATGCAGGCATGAGCCACCATACCTGGCCTGAACTTCTTTTACATGGGAAAAATTTTCTAATTTTCTT